GGCAGTTGCAAAATGGCTTCTGGCTAACACCTGGCTGGCTCATCTGCAGTTAGCTCAGAGCAAAGCCTCTTAAACTGTTGCTTTTTTCTGTCAGAGAAAACTGAATGCTCTGAATAATTGGTATATGGGAACTCATTATTTTAATTTGCAATACTCTTAAATTAATCCAGCAACACAGTAGGGTAGTTTTGGGGTATACCAAAGGTCATGATTATTACGTATGAATTGAAACTTGCATTGGCATTTTGTTGTGACATATTACTTGATTAAAACAATTGTTAGAACGTTGATCTTCACTCAAACATGTTAAATCAGTGGCCAGAGATGTTCCATCCCTTAGTGTGCAGTCATGAGTGACGAGGTGCAGTCCCCCACCAAAAGGGAAACCTGGGTGATGGAAGTCTGTGTTAGAGATACATAGTGTAATTACACAGGTTAGGTTGGAGTAGCTGATTATCTCTAAAGTTTATTAAAAGTAGTAATAATAGATGTCAAAGAGGAAAGGTAAGCTTAATAAATATGTAGGGAACAGTTGTTTCGGCATTTAAACTTTTGTGGGTATAGGAATGAGATCATGCAGAGTTAATCAGTTACAAACAGCTTTTTTTAAACCTTTTTCTTCAAGGAAAAAAATTGATGGTAGGAAAATACATGGAAATTTTGCTGTGCCAGGTATAATTAGAGATGTAACTAAATTTGGAGAATTCTTAATGTTGACAAAGATAATTCATGAGGGAAGATAGGGCAAAATGCACAAGTAGTTTAGTTAAGTTGTCAGCCCTTCATTGTATTGGCTTAAACTAATTTATTTGGGATTAAAAAATGGCAAAGTTTTCTTCTAATAGAAAATTTTTTAATGTTTCCACGTAAATATTATCTGAAAAAGTTGTAAAATGGGTTTATAGGTAGCCTTATATAAAGGGGTAAAATGATTACAAGGAAATAATAGTTCTATTATTGTTAAAGTAATTGTCAAATATTTCACACTTTGTCTTTCTGCAGAGATTCTGCAAGAGGATCCTCTCAGTATAACACCTGCAGAGGAAACTATTCCCGTTTTTCCTCTTCTGACATTTACTCCAGTCTTGGGTTAGAAGACTTCCTCTCTGTAGGTGACACTTCTGGAACAGAGGAGGATACAGACTCAGCTATCTTATATGGAACTTTGCGAGGAAGTATTGTTGGATTACGATACTACACGGGGATTGTAAGTGCATGATAACTTACAAAGCAGAAGAAAAAGTTGTTGTCAGCTTCAGAAGAAATACGTTTAATTGAATTCCAAAAATTCCTAGAACTTCTGACCAAGTATAATTTGAATAGATTTTTTTTTTCCTAACTTGCTGTAATCAACATTCTTCTTTAATCTAAAAGTTTTAATTCAAAATTTAATTAAGGTAGCAAGTTTTCAAACATGGTTTAGTTATTTGATAGCTCTGCTCACCCATGTAAGGCAAATGAAAGTGACTGAAAACAAGAAACTAGATAGGTCTTTGAACTGTTTATGTGGACAAAAAGGGATGTTTATCCCCTTACAAAATGTGTTAGCAGTTGAAGGTCTTCTTGCTCTCAGGAATACTCTTGAAATTGCTGACATCTATCAGGTAGCCTTTCTGTAATGCTTTTGGTATTTTGGATAAGTAGTAGCTTATTAGCCTGATGGAACGGAATGCTATACCAAATTAATCTTCAAAATATTTAACTAAATGTATATTAGATATTTCTGCAAGTAATTTGCAACTAAATGGATATGTTCTGCCATTTGTTTGTTTTGCTTTGTTAGGTTAATAACAATGAAATGGTTGCACTTCAGAGGGAGCCCAATAATCCTTACGATAAAAATGCAGTGAAAGTAAATAATGTGAATGGAGACCAGGTAGGCCATATAAAAAAAGAACTAGCAGCAGCATTGGCGGGCATTATGGACAACAAACTAGCAGTAGTTGAAGGGTAAGTATGAAGATTATGCTTTTGTTTCCATGAATATAAATAATGGAAAGTTTTTGTTGCTACACGAGCAAATTCTGAAAACTAGAAGTATTCTGTTTTAACAGAAATGACAGCTCTTGGTAATACGATTAAAGCTTCATGTTTTCAGACTCTTTATCCTTCTGTTGAACTACTCGCACACCGTTCAGTCTTTCCCATATATGATAAAATGTGGACATGCTAGTGAGAGAAAATTCTTTAAACATTGTTGTGGAACTCTTAAATTAACTGCGTGTGGTGGTTTGTATAAAGGGTTTATGCAGTATGAGTGCTAACACCTATGTGGAACATTCTGTGTTTTGATGAAAATAAGCACTTTGGAGTACCTCTTGCTGAAGAAATAACAAAGGTTTATTATGAAAAAATAAATAATAAACAGGTTACTGCTGTGGGTTTTTTTTTCCTGCTTTTTATCAGTGTTGTCCCTTATGGAGCAAAAAACGCCTTTACCATGCCTGTACAAATGAGCTTTTGGGGAAGAGAAGAAAACAAGGAAGCAGTGCTAGATCAGCTAAAAAAGCACGGATTTAAATTGGCTCCTCCTCTGAAGGGTAAGTCTTGAAGTTCTGGGGTTTTTTCCTTTTTAAATACTCAGGTTAAACTTGCCACTGGCTGGAAGAAATGTTTAAGGGCTTAATCCTCATCATAGTCTTGTCATTCACAAACAGATTTTTTGAACTTAGTTGGGGAGTAATGCAGAGCCCACAGCTATTAATTTTAAACTTCATAGGAAGTATACTTTTGTGTCCTATCTTTTATGTTACCTGCTAGCAATTGGAGAGGCATTTGAGTAACCTCAGAAATATACTCAATTCCATAAGTTCTTTAAAAATCCATAATGATTCCCTGCATTTCTCCAAACTTGATTTTTTTTTTTTTTTTAGGAAACAGGTTAGGCTCTTTCATAGAGTGAGAGTTTTGGGGACTGCTTTTTCGTAGCAGACTGCTAGGACATGTATCCTACTAGTGAGGTGTGAGCAAACAGAGACAAGATGTCTCTGAACAATTAAGCTTAGCAAATCTTCGCAGAGCCAGCCTCATGCAAAAAGCACCTGTGCTCCTGGAACTAGGCTTTGTGGAAGCAGTGGTAGTCAGGAGTAAGGATGCATGGAGAAATAAACACTTGGTGAGGGATAGATCTGTTTTACACATAGCAAGATACCAGTTTTTATCTTACTGGTTCTATTGCACATAGTTAACTGAAAAAGAATTTGGAATCAAAAAGCATTTTGTGTTACCAGTCATCATACTGTTACCAAGTCAAATTTCATGTAACGCAACAATTTTTAAGAAACACGGTTGCCATCTCGAAGGATCCCAACCTCATTGCCTGTGAGTCTTATGAAGCTTTGTGGCCAGCCTTTGTGGCCCATTGAAAATAAAGGATAAATTGAGGCTAAAAGACAAATGGTGAAAGATACTGTCTTACAGCCTGCTATCTGATCAGCGTTGTTACTCATGAGCCAGTGAAAGTTGAGATTGGGAAGTCATCATACCATTGTGTCTCAAAATACTGTCTTTTTAATGGCAAGTAGGTCCAGAATGTGGTTTTGGAACAAAGTGGATTTCTGGGAGAGCTGGTCCAAGTTATAGCGCTCCGGTTCATGCTGCTGTGCAGTTGACAACTGAACAGGTTTGCATTTCATACTTAAACACCTGGAATTTGGAATTTTAAGTGGGGGCCTTTAACTTTTTCATTAATAAAACAGTGCTTGAGAAGTGGAAGTCTGTTGCTTTTTTTTTTCTTTTCTGAATCACAGATTTGCTTTGAAGTCATCTTGAACTTTTTAACTTTTCCATTTTTATACTATAAGCAGACATTTTAACTGTGACAGCATTGAGTCCCATGTAATTTTGGGAGGTTTTGATTGTTCAATAATTTTTTTACATTCTTGTGGTGGTGTGTTTTCTTTTCTCTGTCCTAATGCTTTACCAGATGTGTTAAGTTCTCAAATGAAAATAAAATTCCAGACCTTTTATCTTCAGATTTGGCCCAGGGTGATGCATGAAGGGTTGGGTAGTGATTTGGTTTTGGTTTTTGTTTGCTCTTTCAAATTAGAGTGAAGTAGTTACTTTAGTGAGTGTTGTACAAGGATGTGAATATATTTAGCCATCCCTTCTCAAGCTCTTGCTTGTATTAGCATGTGTTTGTCTTGGAAAAACTGAATTTAATTTTTATATAGCAGTAGCTAATACATATTCTGGCAAACCAGATCTAAAGTGGTAGACCTATCTATACTGATTACCATTGTAATTTAATAGTCATTGATTATTTAGTAAGGTTGTTTTTAATTACAGTAATTTTAATTGCATTTTTTGTGTTCATTTATGCAGCTTAAAAGTGAATTTGACAAATTGTTTGAGGATCTGAAGGAAGATGATAAAACTTGTGAAATGGAAGGAACAGAGGTATTTCTTAAGCTAGAAACCATTTTATCTAAAAATATAAATACTTAAACATCTCGATATGCATATTTAACTTTGTTGTCTGGATGTGGGAGATGCTCGAATCAGAAAAAAAAGTTAGTAGTTACAAAAGACTTTATAAAAAACTTCTCTTCCAAAAATGGAATGTCACATTTAATATGCAAATAGTGCATAACCTATCTCTTTAATTTGCAGGCTGTTGGCACACTCTTGCTTCCCCATCAGAAGCAGGCTTTAGCTTGGATGGTTTCACGTGAGAACAGTAATGATTTGCCACCATTTTGGGAAGAGAGAAGTAACTTCTATTACAATATACTTACAAATTTTGCAGAAAAGAAGCGACCTGAAAATGTTCATGGAGGAATACTGGCTGATGACATGGGACTGGTAATGCTACTGCCAAGCTTGAATCTTTTTTTATACAGAGTGCGTGTGCGTGTTTCTTGATTGGTTGGTCATTTGGTTTGTTTTAATCTGTGGAAAATATTCTTTTCTGTTATGCAGGGTAAAACACTTACTACTATTGCATTGATTCTCACAAATTTTCAAGATGGCAAGCCTCTTCCTGTTGAAAAGATCACAAGTGATAAGTTTTATGAGGTGAGATGAAAGAAAAAGATTGTTTTAATGAAGTTAATACAGCAGTTCATAAAAAAACCTATGCCTAGTAACTTTCTGTATGGTGAACTCTGTATACATTCTGTAGAAAAATTTATTCAGGTACATCAAATAAGAGGAAGAATAGGGTAGATTAGTTGAAGGTAAGTGGTTACTTCAGAGTGTATAACTGAGCCTGTAGACTGCTATCTTACAAGTGGATGCTTTAGTGTACTTCAATGAAGAATTTATGAAGGCATAGACAGTTTCAGTGTTAAGTTTTATATACAGTTTTTGTTTATTACAATTTTCTGCACAAATAGAAGTGGTGTTCTTTCTGGGGGTGTGCATGCATGGTTCCTGTGTGGTTTGGAGGAAGCGCCCGAAACAACCAAAACAGCAAGCAGAGGTTCTTGGTACAAAGCACATAAATAAATAAATCTCAGTTTATATTTTTGCCAAATACTTGAAATGAAAAGAGGAGGGGGAAGTACACTTAGTGAACTAACATCAATGTGCAAACTCTTCTTAGGCAGTGTAGTTCAAGTGCTTTTTGTTTTTGTTATGATACCATTTTCAAGCCTACGAAATAAACTAACTGCTAGGATTAGGTGATTTATTGTGCAATATTCCCTGACACTATTAAGGCTGGAGGGTTTTTTTCGGTTTACCATACTTACCTAAATCTAACAAAATAATGCTTTGTGTTTGGCCTCAGAACATTACCTGGGAAATATTGCTAGTGTGTTTTCTTTCTAGGGCAGCTGTGTAGACTGAGTTTCTCTCCTCTGCCTCTCTACAGTTTCATTTGAAGTCTGTATGTGGCAACTAAAAAAAAAAAAAAAAAAAAAAAAGTACAGCTTTTTCAGCACTGAGCAGGTCTTTCATGTTGCAGAGCAGTAATTGATCGCTGGTCAGATTAGTGTAATAATGTTATTGGCGTTTTTTCCAGTTGCTACATTAAAGAATAAAAGTTTCCATTCCTCAATAGGAATCTGGTACTAACAGCATGAACAACGATGGACGCAGACTGTGTAAAGGTGACAGCAAACTATGAAAAGTCCAGTAATGTTTGCATGATAATGAATGTTATTACCTGGGGGTAGCCTTAGCCTGTGGTCAGTGCTAGTCTTCACAAACTCTTGACAAACTAAGTATCTCGGCGAAGTATTTAAAACATACCTTTAAAGATGTTTCATTTGACACAAGAGAAGCTTAACTGCTTTGTGAGAAAGTTGCACCCTGCAAAGAAATTTATTACATCCAGGAAATGGATTCTGGGTTTGTTCCTTTTGCTTTCGTTTCTCCTTCCTTGTAGATGAAACAGGAGCACTTACGCATCTGCTAGAATCTTGTTTGTTTGAACAGTAAACTTCAGTAGTTAGATAGTAATTAAGTCAGGTTTTTTTGGAAATATTTTTAAGTAATGAGCAAATGACAAGTGTTTATCACACCTGTAGTTTTCAGGTTGTATTGGGAGAATTTATACACGTATATGAAAAATTATGCTTGCTGTCAGTATGTTTTGTAACTCATCATGCTCTTGAAAATTACCAAAGAAATGTATGGGGCTTGAAGTTTTCTTGCAGTAACTTTCCCTCACTGTCCTCCCATGCAAGGAATTTTAATACAGATGACCTAACTTGATAGCACAAGAGAAATGAAAGGGACACATTAATATGAACTGCTTCTGATGAAAGTTATTTTTATTAGTACTCTGGAAGGGAGAAAATGCAGACTTTCATGGGGGTCAATATGAGTGTTACCAGAAAATCAGAGCCTTTACCAAAGCTGAAATGCCTAGCAACATGTGAGATACTTTTTTTTTTTTTTTTTTTCTTCCCCAGAGCATCAAGCATTTTAACAAGATGCTGTTTACAGCAGTGAGGGGAGAGCCTGTTTCTACTATTATTTAATCTGCAAACGTGATAATGTCTTTGAAACTCTTACACATCTCCCCCCTGTCATTTCTCATTCTATTGTGCGTTAAATTGATGCCTATTTCTTGAGTCTTTGCAAGTTTTGCTGTCTTCAGGATTGTATTCAATGTTTTTAATAGTAAAAATCTTTGCTGAAGTTTAAATCTGGAATTCAAGCATGAATTTACTTAACCTGAGTTATAGCAAAACACTTTTCTGCAAGCTCTTTTGCTTTCAGTTTTGATATCAACTGTGTCCTAATATGTTTTCTTTTTTGCATTTGCTTCTGACATGCTATTATTGGCAGAGCACAGAGGTGATGTTTTGTTCATTACCTGGTAGAAGACCTTAAAAACCCCAACAAAACGAAACAACCTCCCCTGCAGCCCCCCTAACTCCTCACATGCACATTTTTTCTATTAATGCTGCTGTTACTCATTTCCTTTTAGGCCGTGTAGAAATAATTAATTAATAAGGTTTGACCCATTAAAAAATGTTTACCATTTAGCATTATTTAAATCTTTATAGAACTTTGCCCTTACTGTTAACAGTGCAATGCTTACATTTGGTTTTTCTTCTTGACAGTTTGGTTTTGACCACCTGCAAACTCAGTACACATTTTATGACTTTGTAAATATTTAAGATTGTTTTAAGAGTATTCTTATTTTTAAATTGTGATTGCAGTATCAGTAGTACTTGTCCCATGCAGAACTAAGATTGTTTTAAAGGAAGTTTGTACTTGTTCTTGATGAAGTTACGCTAGAGTTGGTTTGATAAGCAAGCTGAAGACTATGTATATTTTTTATAAATACCAATTTCTTCTTTATGAAGACTCTAGCAATGTGATGGAGCCTGGTGTTTCTAAAGTAAAAAAGTTTGAAACTACTCCGTTGAAATACTCAAGTTGTCTTCCAAAAAGGTAGATAGCTGGTATAATCTTTTTCTTTTTGTTTGTTTGCTACATAGATTTTGAGTAAAAATAAAGTGGTACTTGATTATGAATAACCCTAGCCTAAAACGTTTTCCTGCTGTCTCCTCACCTTTCAGTATGCTGTATTTCTGCTGACATTTATCATAAGTGTTTTATATCTGTGTTGCACTTTGGAATATGTTTAAAAAGCATTAACTCGTTCTACGTGGTTTGCGTGACTGCATGCTTGGATGTCTCTGTCAGTAGTAAAGGTGTCTAATAACATCAGTGTGTGGCATCTAAAAAACTGGCTGTGGGGTAATCTTTCTTCTAGTATCAATTGGGTTTTTAAGTGGTTAAGAAATACTTGGCAGGCATGCTTCTGACAGAGGCAGCTTTGAGCTGATGAAGTTGTGAAGCTTGCTAATGTGTTTCAACCTTCCCACCATACTAGCCTCTTCTTATAACTGGTGTGAACTTCAGTGATAATCTGTACCAAGTTTTATGAGCATCCTTCCCCGTGTAGCTCTGTGTTCTGTGCTTTGCCTTTTTCTAACCCTTCTAAAGAGAAAATTACAGTGGTATCTTATTTGCAATGTCAAGTTCATTTGCTTTATGTTCTTGACGTTTAATATGTAAATTCAAGCAATAGTAGAATTGTCAGGTTTTTTGTTTTTTTTTTTTTTCTTTCTTAATGATGATATCTTAGAGATAAAGCGAAGAAACCCAGATATTCAGGAAGCAGTAACTTGGGAGAATCTGAAGAATGTCTACTGCAACAAACAGAAAGTAAGTTGCAAGGAATTTTTTTTTTAATTGGTTACCATAGCACCTGGTGTCTTCCTTTCTGAAGCCAAACTGAATAGGATTTCTGATTCACTGGAAAAGGAATTAACTGGTGTTTTTTGTTTGTGGGTTTTTTTTTAATTCAGCCAAAACTTTAAGGAGGAAACTTTAGAAATTGCTGAATGAGAAAGCAGTGGTTTAGTGCTAAGTGTTATAGTTTGTTTCTTTAGCTGAATGAGTGGTGGTGTAACAAGCTATGAGCAGGGTCAAATGGATGGTGAAAGACAGAATTGCTAAGATTTTTAGAATTTGACATAGACTTGTTATCAGGGCACTAGGGCTGGAAAAACAAATTCAAAAAATGAAGTCCATCTTTTGTGGTAAATACCTGAAATGTGATCATGAAGAGGCAAGACCATGTGTAATTTGTTGAACTAAGTATCTTGCATGGAAAAAAAAGGAAGGGTTACAGGTACTCTGAAGCAAGCAGTTAAGTTTAGGATTAAAGTACTTGGAGTTAAACCTGTGCTAAGCCGTTTTGGTTTTTTTAACGACTGGTGAACAGCATTCCTCTGAAGATTCATAACCTGAAATAGATGTATAAGATACTACTCTGCACACATTCCTGTCAGAGTTCAAGGAGTGCCTGGACAATGCTCTTAGCTGAATGGTTTAGTTTTAGGTAGACCTGTGAGGAGCAGGGAGTTGACCTCGATGATCCTTATGGGTCCCTTCCAACTCGAGATACTCTACATTATGGTATTGGAGAGGAGAAGTAATTTGGTTAACAGGTTTGACTTTTATGAAGCGTGTCATAAAAATGAATGCACACACATGGTCTGCATGGTGTGAAAAATCAGTGTTTGTCTGGCTTTTTGCAGCAACTTCCTGTGTTATCCAAGAAGATACAGGCTTTGCATCTGTTCTTCTGCCTTCATCCACTTGTTTAAAAAGACAAACAAAGAGAAGAGGTAATAAAGGGATAAATGGATAATATTGATTTCTGAGTTTTTTGAAGCTGAAGTATTATGTGTATCTGACTTAATGAATGAAGCTTGTGTCTTTGTAAATTGCTTTGAAGGTGAAGAAATTTAGAAATGACTTCAGGGAACCATAAGTCTCTTGAACTTCTACATTGCTTTAAAGTGAACTGTTATGCCACTATATCTGACTTGCGTTTTCTCAGGTACCACTAGCGTTCAGTCAGTTGAGAAGAAACATTCTGATGATGGCTCCCGAGCAACACTGATTGTATGTCCACTGTCTGTCCTGAGTAACTGGATTGTAAGTGCTAAGCTGTTTTAGTGTGTAAATGTGATGTATGTTGGTTATGATGCTGTAGAAATAGTACTCCCTCTGGTCTCCCATGCTAGTAAGGTCATGGGTTTCCTTTTTTATGAAACAGAGCTGCTTTCACAAGGGAAGTTTATTTGATAGAAATTTAGAAACTAGAGCAGTATTGTAATAAGAGCACAGTTCATAAGTAGTGAGCTCACCACTATCGGAAAGAGCAAGCTCCCTTTCCATTCCCTGTTTTTGACTAGGCAGATTCACTTTAGCGCTTCTGGAACTTGTGTGATTTAACTCCTTAAACCAGATGAGGAATGTGGAGGAGACAGGTCCTTCTTCTTGCATGCTCAGAATAAAATACTATTATACTGTATTGATACTGCACATGATATTTAATTTACTAGAGGTGTTCAGTAATTTGGTGATCTTGCTGGTGATTTGTGGGAGTAGGTCTGCTAGGGTGAACAGGCTGGAGAGCCCTTCTAGCTCTGTCTCTGCATTAATTTTTTATGTTTTCATGACGTTTTGAATACAGGTAGTATGGGGATATCTTTAACTTTCAAGTTACGTTTTATTTGGAAGTTTTTACTGTCTGTGGTTAGAACATTAATAAGAAAATGAAACAATTTAATCTTAGACTGTAGGTAAAACATTGAAATCATATAATTGGGAAACATCAAATAGCATTAAAAAATATTCTTTGTCAATTCAAAACCAAATTGAGTGTTTAAAAAAAAAACTTGTGACTCTGCTTCAGAAATCAAATTGTTGATTTTTATTGGCTGTCGAGATTACTGTATGCTGAGTGTTTCACAGAAGAAATATAGGGAATATTAACACTGGTTTTAAAATTAATACCCTGACAGTTGTACCGTCATTTATGTTAAAACTTAGGTGGTTAACCCAGTAGGGGGAAGAAGCTGTAAATGAACAGTGAAAGAATAAAGAGAAGATTAAGGTAGAAAGTGAAAGAGAACATAAAAGCTCTTCTGTTACAGTTTGGGAGAAACTGGATTTTGAAGTGCATATAACATCAGGGTGTGAATTAATACTGTGCAAGAAGTAGAGCTAGAGTTATCAGAATGCGATACTGTGGTCTGTTACTAAGGACTGAGGTGACTACTTCTGGTCCCTCTCTCACCTGGGTGGAGAGGTAAAAAGAAACCCAAATTTAAATTGCTTTTGTTATATAAATGCATGTAAAATGTCACAGGGCTAGAGGAAGTGGTTCTTGGGTAGGGCAGCTTACAAGAATTTTATTCTAAGAATCAGGTAGTAACACAGTATCTTTTGGATGACTTTTTGACAACTTTTCTTTCAGGACCAGTTTGAACAACATATCCACCAGGATTTTCATGTAAATATTTATGTTTATTATGGTTCTGACCGAAGCAAAGACCCATCAGTTCTTTCAGAGCAAGACATAGTTCTGACAACATACAACATCTTAGCTAGTGATCATGGAGTAAGTACATGAGAAAAAGTGTTCTTTAAAGATCCCTTACTGTTCAAGACTGACGGTGTTTGAGCTAATGATGGCAGTATATTCAAGTGCTATTCTGGTAGGCAATCAAAAGGTTATAGCTGTAGTTCTGCTTTACATACTTTCTTACGGGTTTGCTGTGGGAATGAAGGGAGTTTTTTATTGATTGGTCCTGTAGAGAAAATTATTTGGCTGCAATTATGGCAGCTTAAGGAAGAGACTTTTTAAGGATAGAAAAGGTTGGCAAGTATGTAAATGTCCCCAAATCTCAGTGGCATGAGGCTCCTGTTTCTGCCTTCCCCTATCAAATTCAAAGAATATGGAGCATATAGAAACAATTCCATAGTTCTTGTTGCATGTGGGCTGTAACCAAGTAGCTCATTGGATGAGATATATTTGTAAAGTGATGTTTTTGCAGAAATTCCAGCTGTTTTAAAAGCCTGAAGATGACATCTTTAAGTATAACATAAACTTTTAATTTGCTCTCTGATCCGTTTTCTGTATCTCTGTGTCTTTGAAGCCTTTCTTCTTTTCAAGCTTAGCTTATTTTTGAGGTAGCTCATTCCTCATATTCCAGCATGAGAAGACTGTTAACGTTTTCCAGGAATCATTAAAAGAAGGAACACCTCATTCTTAGTTTTGCTCTTCTGTGCTGATAAATAAACAAGATGCGAATAAATACTATCCATTATTAGTTGTGGAATTGTTATATTAATAGCTTGCTTAACCCAAATTGCAAAAAAAGAATTTTAATTTGAGTCAAAGGTTTAAAAAATACTGTGTTTCAGACCAGAGGTGACAGCCCTTTACACAAAGTCAAGTGGCTGAGAATTGTGTTGGATGAGGGGCACACTATACGAAATCCAAATGCTCAGCAAACTAAAGCTGCCTTAAATCTGGAGGGACACAGAAGATGGGTACTTACAGGTAAAATATTTGACAGCAGAGGAAATGCGGTGCAAATCATCTTAATATAATACCATCTCATGTTTCTCACTTGGTGTTTCTACTTTGGCTTCTTCTGGGAGGTGGTTAATGTCTGTCTCTGTCAGATTCACTTGGAATGTTTTTAAACTTGTCTTTGGGCAGTGATTTAGGTGTGTCTTCTTTTAGTTGTTTTTGATTTTATTTGCTTGGTTTTATGTTTGGGGTTCTGCTTTTTTAGTTTTTGGTTTTTTTCAGTTTGTAGACACAAATTTTAAAATAACTTTTGATACACAGGTTGGGTGGATGTGCAAGTAGAAAGGGGTCTATTTATGAACTGGCACGTTAGGTCTGGTTAGAAGCTCACATTCTTATGTACTTATATGAATCTCAGTAGCTTTGCCAGGGACCATGCAGGCATATGATCCTTAAATGTAATTTAAAGAAAATGATGATGTAACCACTGCTGGTGAAGCTGAAATGGAAAGATTAACATCCGAGTCTTCCTAGCACTGAGAGGTGCAGCTTTCTCACTCATATATTTAAGTGTTTTGTAATATTTTAATTAAGAAAATAGCATGTATTAACTAGGTTGGCATGTCACTAAGTATATGAGAGACCTTGTCCATGGTGTATGGTTTGGAGAAAGCACAGAACTTTCACTTTGACTAAAAATTTGTATTTTTTTAGTTTCTTTGAGGTTTTACAATCTTTTTTTGTTTGTTTGTTTTCTGTTTAGGCACACCTATTCAGAATTCGGTGAAGGATTTGTGGTCTCTTATTTCCTTCTTAAAACTGAAACCTTTTACTGATCGAGAGTGGTGGCACAGAACAATTCAACGTCCAGTCACAATGGGAGCTCCAGGAGGACTTGGGTACTTATTTCAATTTTTAGTTCAAATTAATAAATATTAAATAACTCAAAATATTTAATATTTCAGATTAATGAATCATATTGTACAACTGGGCTTGGATTTCATACACAACATGCATTTATGCAATAAACTGGAAAAAAACCCCAAACAAACCAACCTCAGCTGCATAATATGTTGTCTATATTTGTATTTTTAGGCGTTTACAATGTCTGATTAGGAGTATTACCCTTAGAAGAACTAAAACAAGTAAAGTTAAAGGAAAACCCATTTTGGAGTTGCCAGAACGTAAAGTACTTATTCAGCATGTCACACTTACAGAGGAAGAGAGACACATCTATCAGTCTGTTAAGAAGGAGGGCAAAGCTGCTATTAGCAGGTAAGTAGAAGGCTGTCTTAATCCTGAAGGCTGACATTTGGTATCACAGGCTTGTCTTTCGGAAGTTTCTATTATGTTAGCTCTGGTAGCCAAGTGTGTCAGTTTGTATGCCAGAAGCTAAAAATTGCAAATTAGCTTAGCATCTGTTCAGTTCTGAAGAGTTGAAGTAGAGTCTGTGCAGAACTATATATTAGAAGTTCTGTCTGATGAGAAACAGAAAGGGATACCAGATACATAGAGAATGGCCTTAAAATTGTTGTCATCACATTAGCATTTCTTATAGTAGAACATGCTACTGGTAGCATTTTGTACCTTGTTTCAGAAGAGGATTGGAGAAAATATAATCAAACAGGAAAGTGAAAAATCAGAACATCATTCTAACAGCTAAACTTTGTTGCTTGGTGTCATCTGTTACTTCAGGCTGTAGCATTTCACACTAATGATAAAACTTTTCTTCAGATTTTTCAGTGAAGGGACTGTACTAGCTCACTATGCTGACATCCTTGGTGTCCTGCTCAGATTGAGGCAGCTTTGTTGTCATCCTCATCTTTGTATAAATACATCTTCTAGTTTTTCAGCTGGTGAGTGAATGCTTTTGGTTCCTCTGTTTCTAAAAAGAGGACTTGCACTTTGTATTCAAGAACAGAAACACATTTGTATCTTGTCCAGACTTTCTAGCTTCAGCCTTCCTCTTTTCAGATGGGCTTATTGAACTTTCAGCTTTGCTACTTTTATATTTTTCGTACCATAATATGTTTGAATATGTTTGAGAAGTGGATGCTTGAACACATATTCAAATATGAACGAAAGCTGTGAAGTATGAGTAGTTGTCAAAGCTAGAAGCGGGAGTTAATAAGCTTTGACAGCCCATACAGAAGTGACTGAAGAGGACCTCTGCAGAGCCAAATGCAGAAGGCTTGTTAAAAAGCAGCGTATCTGTTGTTGTAATAATTTACAGAAGTGCTTTTACAGCAAATCTTTTTCTTTGCCTCAGGAGAGAAGATGTAGAGGAGCTTTGGGGGATGGCTTGTAGATTGGTAGCCATGTCAGCAGAACCATTGCCTCTTCAGCAGAATAGGAAACTGTTGACTTTGTTACGGCTGTAAGGAAGGTTGAACACAGAGGACTGAAAGGAGAGTGAAATTTTATTTTTGACAAGCCAGAACTGTACAGCTGCAAAGTGTTAAAAATTATATGCATTTCTTTCAAAAGAAGGTATAGCCTGTTTGAAATACTCTAAATTTGAGAATTCTCAATATTTTGAAAAATCCTATTTTGAGATGCCATTGGTGTAGGTGTGATTTTTTTCAGGAAACTGTAAGACCAATGAAATATGGTCAGAACCTTTTTTAGAAGGTTGTGATTTATCTTCCTGAAAAATACAGGATGGAGAAATGATTGGATAATTGTTCTGTAATTATTTAGAAATTAACTAGTAACTAGTGAGTATGATTTGAGTTTCTTTATTTAAAAAATAAAGCAATCTTAACTATAAATAGTGTCATCTCTGTAATTACTACTATGCTGTTACTACTTAAGAAGCTGCCATATGAACATTGCTTGTTCCCATGATGCCTTGTGTTGCACGTGTACTTATCACTGAGCATGTAGTCGAGGCTCTTTGAATTCCTAATTACTATTTTTTCAAGTAAGATTACTCTTAATGTGTTTTGAAACAGTAAGAATTTTCTGTGGTATTTGGCAGCTTGTGTTTTTATACATTGTAGGCTATATCCTCATTGTGTATAAACTGTCCTAATTGCTTTGTGAGCAATGGAACTGTGTGATGTGTGCCAGCTCAGTGTGTTTCCTGTATGGAAATCTGTTTTTGAGTATCTTTCTATATGTGCAGATAATAAAACTCCTGAAGAACTGCGTGAGACGTTAGTGAGTAAAATGAAGTTGGTTCTGAGCTCTGGTTCAGATGAAGAATGTGCAGTTTGCTTGGAATCACTGACTCTTCCTGTGATAACACGCTGTGCGCATGTGTTTTGTAAGCCGTGTATTTTTGAAGTCATCAGAAGTGAACAGGTTGGTTGTTCTATGGTTACAGTTAATTGTAATAGTGATTCAGAAGCATTGAACTGATATCACCAGAGGTTATCATCTAGCTATTGTTCTTTTAAATCATAAATGGTGAACAGTGTAAACCTAGTTTACAGCTGGGTTATAAAAATTATTGGCCTGAAGTCAAACTATGGAGAGAGTAGCTGTCAAACCGAACAGTGTAAAGGCCTATCAGTACTTTCAAAGACCTTTCCCTAGACCTCAACTTATTTTGTCCCTAGGGTAAAAGTGATGGCATCCAGTGCAGCATTGTATACCTCCATATGGCTGGATGCCTCTTCGCTGCTTGTATGTGACGTGATGCATGTATATGTTGTGCTTAAAAGAGACCAAAGCTGTGTATTAGAAGCTGACTGTTGAACTAAGATCATGTCTGCTCTCCTTATTCCAAGCTGATAAGCTTCTACAGTGAAATGGCTGCCTTGCTCGAGGGCCATCTTTATGGCCCTTCTCTGGACTCTCTCCAGAATAAGCTTGTGGATGAGCGTCTTTCGATCGCTTTTTTGAGAAACAGCATTTATTTTTCTTGTGCGCTTCTAAGCTATACTTTTACTTCTTGTTTGCCCTTTACTTTCTAGGGCAATCTGATAGCGTGGTAGTCTCACCACTTGTATCTAGTGCTACTGCACTTCCTCTCTGGAATTGTTCTGCCTCCTACTCAGCGGAAGGGCTGCAAGGGCTAGGCTAAACCTGGTGTTCCTTATAGGAGGCAGCAGGGAACAAATTAGTCCCTGCTTGTGCATAGTCAAGCTAACAAGACAAAGGTAGGAAGTGTTGTCTGTCTGGTATGTAGATTGACTTTGTTTCATTGCCGGCCACACAAGGTTCTGATGCAGATATCCCAGCTGAGAGTTTCTGAGAATTTTGAGGGGAAACTAATGATGTGAAATTACTCTCTAAGGAAAGAGCACTTGCAGAGGCCTTTGGTGCCCCTACTCAACCTTCAGGTGTATTTAGGCAGGTTATGATGTGATGGAACTTGTATTACTTGACTGTACAGTAAATTATTTACTGTGCTTTGCCTAGAAGGGACCTTGGAATCTGCAGAACTAGGGCCTTTGTTGAATCCCCCATTGGTCCACAGATCACTTCATAGTAGTGAAGTCTGAACAGAGGTGGCTCTAGATTCTGCTCCTTTGAAGCTGAACTAGCGTGAGTTTACAGAGCAGTGAGTGAGTAAGTCTTTCTTATGTTCAGAATGATTCCTGATTTAAATCGGTTCCTAAAGAAGTTTTTGCAGCTTCTAGGCAAAACACTGACAGATATCTAAATTCCAGAGTTGGGGAATTACTGTTTCCACATTGTCCTAGTGCTGCATCTCAGTTGGGTAGTTCCTGTGCCAGAATGGTTACAATGCAACTCTTTCCTAGTAATTAGTTAGAGAAGGTACTTTACTTACTGCCTTAAAACAATTCTTCCAGGCAAGATGCCTGTGAATGCACTTATTAATAGAAATGAGAATATTAAGCCATCATTGAGGAATGGGATGTGAAGCTGCCAAAACAAATCTGCTGCGTGAAAAGTTTGGCCTTTACAAACTTGGAGACCATTTTATCTTTCTAATGCTAACCTAAAAGTATTTACTGCAACTGGAAAAGCTTTAGTGGTTAACAGCTTGAGAGCCAACACCTTATTCATTTCAGTCTTTCATTGAGTTCAGAGTTGTGTGAGTAAGTAGAGATCCTATGCAGAAGTCCCAATAAAGCTATAAAATCTCTACAGTAATCTAATGCCTGTGTGTATTAACTGCATTTTTGTAAAAGCTTGCCAGATATGCATTAAAACATTCTTTTTTTCCTTCTAGTTCTTGATTGCAAGAGAGTTTTTGTTGCTTTCATATGCTTTCACTGCAAGTTTTCCATATCTGTGTTGGCATTGTTCAGCTGTGTTTTGGGTTTTCTGTTGTTTTTAATTACAGTACTAAATTGGAGAAGGGGTGCAGAATGATGTGAGCCTTTTATTTAAAAAAAAAAAAAAAAAAAAAAAAAGTCTTTATGGGTACTTTTAGGATTTTTTTTCCAGAAAACTTTTTCAGGTTTATTAGAATCAATTTGTTTTTCTTTGTCATTGGAGGATTTTTGAATTGCTGCCAAGTCAGGAATGCTTCATTTGTTACTATGTTTTGGAGACTGTTATTTCAGATTCTTTTGTGTTAAGATTCTGTCTCTTGAAAGGTTGTCTTTATTGCTGCAAAAAATTCATGTATGCAGACTATGACTGTCAGCCTCTTTAATTGGCTAGAGGTTCATTCCAGATTAGTGGCCCCCAGTATTCGTCTGCTTTGCAGCCTGTCTAAAGATGCCTTGGTTGTGTGGCCAGATTGCTATATAAACTGAGTTAGCTAATTTTAAAGGGTTGCTCTGTTAGGCAAAAGTTTTTTGTGTCTGTCATTTTTGCTCTGCCAAGTTGTGTATTTGTATAGTGCACACAGTCTTTTGTTAAATTTTGTGAGTAGCCCTATGGAAGTGCTATCGTATAAATTCTAAACTTTGCCTTACCTCGAATATGCTTCAGAGAAAAAAGGTTTTGGTGTTAAATTATGTCTCATTTCTCATGTCTGTTGGGGAAAAAAAAGAGAAGATACCCGGTGTCTGGCCCTGACAAAGCGTATTTCATCACACTGCTATTATTTCTGTGCAGGCTTTGAAGAAAAAGGGTAAAAGGTCATTCTTTGTTTGTAACTAAGAAAGATCTTGTCTTTGAAAGATGGTTTATTTTTCTGATACTTTTAATAGACCTCTCCCCATAGCCCAAGTATCTGCTTGCTTTTAAATCTTGAGCTGCTTATTTCAAGCATAAATATACTCAGAAAGAAGACTACTTTTAAGGAAGGCTTGAGTGTTTTTTAAAACCTGTAGCATTTATGTCACCTTAACGTTCTCAGAAATAAAATACTTTGATTGTTATGTCAGAAATGACAAAGCAGTGTGTTGCAAGAATGAATGTACTCCTTCAGGATTTTTTTTTTTTGTACGAGCATTAATGTAATTTCGTAAAAAGTGCTCTATAATGGTGATCTTTAGTACTTACTATAAATAATTTGATTTAATATGTTTCTTCAAATGTTATTTGGGCTTTTTTGTAGCCAAATGCCAAATGCCCTCTCTGTAGGAATGAGCTTCGAGCAGAGCACTTGGTGGAATGTCCCCTAGAAGAGGAAATAGACTCCAGTAATGGAAAGAAGTGTGATCAGAAGTGGATATCCAGTTCAAAGGTACATTCCATTGTGTTTCACTTGGCTTTCACTATGGTTTTGTAGAGCAGTCTCTAGAATTTTTATGTAAATATGCTGAACATATTAAGTATGCATAACATACTTTAAGTGATTATTTAAAAGTCTGCACAGCGTGTCTAGGCAGCACAGAAGAAAATGCATGATCAAAATTCATCACAAACAGATTTTGCAGCAGGGAAACAAGGCAAAAGGGCCATCAGTTGTACTTTAATGCTGGCTGTTGTGCACTACATAGATGTAGTGGCAAGAAGGAGGACCCAGGGAACTACAGGCCGGTTAGTCTCACCTCTGTCCCTGGAAAGGTGATGGAACAACTCATTCTGAGTGTCCTCTCCAAGCAAGTAGATGAAAAGAAGATCATCAGGAGTACCCAGCATGGATTCACCAAGGGGAAATCATGCCTGACCAATCTGATAGCCTTCTACGATGGCATGACCGGCTGGGTAGACGAGGGGAGAGCGGTGGATGTTGTCTACCTTGACTTCAGCAAGGCTTTTGACACTGTTTCCCATAACACCCTCATAGGGAAGCTCAAGAAGTATGGGTTGGATGAGTGGACAGTGAGGTGGATTGGGAACTGGCTGAATGGCAGGGCTCAGAGGGTTCTGATCGGCGGGGCAGAGTCCAGTTGGATGCCGGTAGCTAGTGGGGTTCCCCAGGGCTCAGTACTCGGCCCAGTCTTTTCAACTTGTTCATCAATTG